GGGGGGGGGGGGGGGGGGCAGAGTTGTGGATGGCTTTGTAAGTGTTTGTTTATATTGTGTATTTTATCCTCTGGGCAATTGGAAGGCAGAGGGGGTGGTTGCAGACACTGAGCGGTTGATTAGATAGATAAGTCTAGCAGCTGCATTCATGATAGACTGAAGGGGGGAGGAGCCTGTGTAGAGGTAGGCCAATGAGAAGGGAGTTTCAATAGTGGAGACGAGAGATAACAAGTGAGTATGAGTAGCTTTGTGGTTTCATGGTTGAGGAAGGGGAGTATTTTTGAGATGTTACGAAGATGAAGGTGGCAGTATTTGGATAGCGATTGGATGTGGGATAGAAAGGTGAGGTTGGAGTCAAGGATCACATGTAGCATTTTGGTATGGGGGGAGGGAGGGACAGTTTTGTTATCAATCTCATTAAAAAAGTTGGGGGGTGGGAGGTGGAAGATATAATGAGCTTATTTTTTTTTAAGATTGAGTTATTTTATTTATTGTTTTGCATTTGCGCCAGGGGGGGGTGAGTGCTGCTTTCCACTTCATTAGAATGATTCCCCACAGATAGTCTGTCCTCCAATGGAAACGCTCCAGAATGAGCTGCTAAAGCCACAGCAATGGCATGGTTGTAGCCTTTTTCAGGCGGGTCCTGTGAAATGACCATCTCCAATCAAATCAGCTACTGCTGGGAGTAAAGGACATACAGGTGAAACTCGAATAATTAGAATATTGTGCAAAGTTCATTTATTTCACTAATGCAACTTAAAAGGTGAAACTAATATATGAGATAGACTCATTACATGCAAAGCAAAATAGTTCAAGCCGTGATTTGTCATAATTGTGATGATTATGGCTTACAGCTCATGAAAACCCCAAGAACCCCAAATCCACAACCTCAAAAAAGTAGAATATTACATGAAATCAATAAAACAAGGATTGTACATAGAACAATATCAAACCTCTGAAAAGTACAAGCATGCATATGTACTCAGTACTTGGTTTGGGCCCCTTTTGCAGCACTTACTGCAATTACTTTTGCACGATATTCTAATTATTCGAGTTTCACCTGTATAACATATCTTTATAGTGCCCTCACCCAACTGGGCCTTGTGCATACCAAATGTGGGACCCCCAGATGAGAATGATCTTCTCCCCAGACATGTTACAGGTTCCCCTGAAGTGATAAACAGATCAAAGTCCATGGATGCCTTTTTAAAGATTTATTTGGAATAGTCAAACTGAAGAAAAAGAGTATTAGAATAACCAAAAATAGTAGAAGTAAATCCTGGTAGTTCTTGCTGAAAGTCCCTGTGCAGAAGGTCAAGGTTCTCTTTCTATAGATTAGAAGTGAATCCATTGCCACAGAGGTTCCAGTGTATACTCTGTGTCAGGTCTTGACTGTAGCTTGGACCAATGGAGGTTTGAGTTCCCAGTGTCCCCATGGATTCAATAAGCACGGGTAAGTTCCAATTCCAGCATATATTATATAAAAGTCCATAAGTACATGGTAGGCCTTGAGGGCTAAAGCCCTTAGACCTTGGCAACAACCAGCACCTAAGCAGCAACCTCCCAACTGGGGAGTGGTAAGAAAACCCAACACTGAGCATGCTCAATGGTTTTGCTATGGCCAACCCCTCCCACATGATAATCTGCAATGATGGGCTTATCACAAAACCACAGCCAGATATGATGTAACTCCAGAACAATACTTTATCACAGCAAAGTCTGGTGGATGAACCCGCATAAGTGACCCATGAGCACACCCTACTGGGAAAAATAATACAGCACCTAAGAACCGTAAAATATACTGCACTAATCCAGGGGGTGTTAGGGGTACATCCCTACATGGGCATCTGTAAGGAGATCTGTAGCTGGTGTATTTACCAAAGGGAATGATGGCTCTGAGAGTGGGAAGATTCAAGTAAAATTATACTCTAAATAGCAATACACATAAATCACTAATATATCTACAAGCTGTAACAAAAACTAAAGAGAGTGGGGCTTTTAAGGTGTCACTCTAGCCATGAAAAAACACATATTGCACATATAGCTCTGTGTAAAATATATTTTAATTGTACAAATAAATAGATTTTAAAAAAAAGCCAATGTATAATCCCACCAATGCTATATCCACAGCAACTCCCTCAACACAATATAATCTAAAATGACTATAGGCATATAGCCTCTCTGGACCACACAGCCACATTCACGGCATCAACAATATGGTAAACATTTTAAACATCTTTTTCAAATAAGTAGATTCATCATACAATGTCATTGACATATCCAGTCTGGCATCGATGCACCGTGGATCCAGCCTTCTACTGGTTTCACAAGTCCCAGCATGCCCTCATTGCCCCTCTGCACCCCCACATATTACCCAGGGAACTACAAGTCCCAATATGCCCTCATTGTCCCCGTATACCCCCCAAACACACATCTTTTAAAATCTATTTATTTGTACAATTAAAATATATTTTACACAGAGCTATATGTGCAATATGTGTTTTTTCATGGCTAGAGTGACACCTTAAAAGCCCCACTCTCTTTAGTTTTTGTTACAATTTTATTCAGGGGTGTGGTGTCCTGTTCCTCATGGTGGCTCAGAACCTTTCTTTGTATTTTATATATCTACAAGCTGTACATGTTATAGCAGTGGGTGGTACAGTATACGACAGACAGCACTGATTTGTAAAATTGCATATATAGGAGGTAGCATATTGTATTTTATTATTTTCATGTATCATTAACACTGCTTTTTACTATAACATTGTTTAGGCACAGCACAACACAATTGAATTCACACCATAAATGAGTACACTTACTTTTTGGGTTTTTATATCTACAATAGGTTGGTTTGACAGAACAAAGGTGTGTGACTGTGCAGGTCCTAGGGCTTGTTCACATCATGTCCAGATCAGAAGAGTTTGTTCCCAGACCAAAAAAAGCATCCCAATGTATCCCTATAGTATTTCTTGGCTCTGTTCACACCAGCGCAGTCTGTTGTGGTCCAGACACAAAAAAAAATGCTGTTTCTCGCATGGCACAAATGCACTGCGTTTGCAAATCTACTCCAGATCTGGTTCAGACACAGCCCTAGGGTGACAACCTCTAGGCATGGACTCAGCATTGTTGCTCTATGACCAGAAGTCTCTTACTGGCAGGATCAACAGGTCAAAAGTGAAGAAATAAAAGCCTGCAGAGAAAACAAGTCAGTCAACGCAATCAATGGAAGGTAAGCAACGAGGATTTTTTTTAGGTTTGCATGACACAGTTTACTGTGTGGAAGTGCTACTTCCAAAATGGGCACTCTAAAATACTTTGGCAAGTGGCAGTCCCTTGGAGCCCTCTTTCCCTGAATTAAATAATGCACTCTTAAAATGCCTTCCTTGGTTTCAATACAAAACTGTCCTGTATCCTGGCTGAGCAACATACACACTTGACAGGCTGCTTTCTCTTCACTATCACAATGCTTCAGAAGCAGTTTGGGATTATTAATTGGCTTCCCTTATTTGTAAGGATTTTGTTTTATGAACATATTCACTATTGTCCTCAAGTTCTGCAGAAGTTTCAAATGGCCAAGCAGGAAAAAGTAGCACCAAGCTGGGCTATACAGGAAGTCTACCCTGCCACCAAAGTGTTATTTGTTGTGACCTTTTTATTGTTATTGATGAATCAATTGTACAGAGTGGCTATATGTGTCCTCATATATAATTTCTCATATCAAAACTGCAGGCAGTAACTATGAGACTGATAAAAAGGAATTAAGGCTGCTCACTTAAAGTGAAGGTGAAGTTGTGTTCGCTTCAATAATCCAGTCATGTTCTAGATATTTAATTTTTTTTGTAAAGATGATCTCCAGGAACGTACAAAATTGTGGTGAAATGCAGCAATTTGCTTGCCCCCTTCTCTTAAAATCTTTGTAGAAACCCTTCCTTCAAAGTGTCCCAGCCCTTCCTGCTGATCTCCAGGCAAAAAGTTAAATACAAAAATCAAATACTGTACAGTTACTTGAATTGTTTTACTTTTATATTTCTGTCAGGCCAGTTCTGAGATGTACACAGCTCTGTCACGTAGCACAACCCTATCTGGCAGGCCAGAGACCTGATCTTTCTCTGCTGCAGTTAAAGTTACATTAAAGTCTAATCCCCCCCAGCACTGGTGCCGGTCTCTGATCCAGCGCTGACGCCAGGCCCGGCGCTACCGCAAGTCAAGTCAGGCGGCCTGAGGGCGCTGCAGGGTGAGGGCGGAAAAAACAGGGCATTTTGACAAGTACTTGTACCTGTCAAAATGC